GGGGTACCAGGAGACAGAAGTCACAAGAACAAGCAGGGGTCATTTAGCCACACTGAAAGAAAGGCAAGAAAGAAATAGAAAAGTCTTGGATCCCTTGGCTGTTATCTGCATCCAGAGGAAAATATCCACAATGTGCACACCTTAGGAGAGAAAATGAGATGCACTGGTTGTTTTGAGTAACAAGACTTTTACTATAGATAAGATCATATAAAAACTTAGTCATCTAAGTAAACAGACTTACCATCTGCCTTTAATTTCAATGTATTGTTACATTATTGATTGTGTTTATCATTAATCATGATGGAATTCTACAAATTGTATCTTTTATTACAACACTAAATTCTTTCTTTATATTGCTAAGTTTTACAACTTTTTAGCTCATTAGCATGGCCAGTTACAGCTTTTCAAAAATGAGATAATGCACTAATGTTAGAACTGGCTTGAAGGAAGTTACCTGACAAAAATGTTTGGGAGGGAGGTAGATATTGGAATTAGGTTAATACCATGTGGAAATATAAGTTCTTTGATGTTATTAGCACTCAAGTACCATAAGGAATGGAAAGAGGTGTGATCTATAGTGGAGAAAAGAATCAAATTCTACCCTGAGCTAAGCTTTAGAACTCAGATAATGGAAAGGAAATAATAACCTCTTTTGATAAAAGAGAACTGCATTTGCCACACTTCTTGTCTTAAGACAGAATAATTGCAGGTGTTTGAGGTCAGGAAATGTAGACATGTAGAGATTCCTGTGGTCAAAACCCAAATTTCCCCCAAGTTGAGAAGATACTTGTGTAAAATTCTAAAAGAAGCCAGCTGGGTTTTGGTGAGGATGAAGAGTATAAAAGGCATGCATGGACCGAGGTTTAAAGCCACTACTGGGAAGGGGCTCCAGATCCTTCCAAGGGTAGACACATATGACCTTTATTAGGCAGAATTTGTTTTAAAAACTGAATTTTAGTAAATAATTGTTTTAGAGTTGGATTTTGTTTCTAGGATATTGTGTGAAACTGTATAGATTTCATACATTTACTTGCGTGATACCCATCTCAGAAAATTTTGTATATGATAAATAAGATCCCTTTATACATCTCAATGGCAATAAACTTCAGGCAAAGCCTTAGTGGAGGATTTAAAATTGAGATCTTCCATCCAAGCATTTGTTTGTCAATTTGGTAGAAGCTGAGTGTAGGTGAGCCACTTAATTTCTGGAAACTTGTTTAGTCATTTATAGTGTGAAAATAAACATTTACCCAAGTTAGAGGGGGTCCCTCAAAACTGTGGCTTAGCCAGCGAAACATGGAAGTCATACTTGCCTATGGGCCTAGCCTAGCTCAGTCAAGCCTCACCCAACTCACATTCACCAATAGAAACCATCTGAGAGCAGGAGAGCCAACAGTTGAGCCTAGGCTACACCGGCAGGAACTCTACTTCACAGAAACAAAAGTTTACTACTGAATGCCATTGTAGTTTTGTGGCTGCTCCTATCTCCTAACTGATTCCTTCTTCCCTGTCTGGTCCTTTAGTAGACTGCATACCCCACAATCCAAATATTTAAAACATTAGATTATATTATTCTCCCCTAATTCCCTGAGATGGTTCCCAACTCCTAGGAAAAAGCCAGTCTTCCACTTTTAGTGTATGAGTGTATCTTTGCCAATAAGGTATGTTTGTTGCAGAAAAGTAATAGTTAGATCTTATTTTTTTAACCAATCATCTAATCTGTTTTTGGTTGGCAAGTTAAGACCATTTGAATTTAGTGCTGTTATAGAGGTGTTTGGGTGTTTGCTGATTCTGGCAATTTTTTTTTGGTTGATTTTACTGTTTGTCTTTCTTATTTTGCTTGGGAGTCTCCTTGCTTATTGAGTTGGACTTTTTTTTTTTACTCTTTCCTTTTTCTTATTTTCTGATCTATTCCCCTCCTGAATTTTAACTTTTCTTGATCGCTCATGTTTGTGGTTGTCTTTCTTCTGTGCATAGATTTTAAAAGTCTTCTACATGCTGGTTTACTGGTCTTGAAATGCTTTAGTTTGCACTTATTTTGACCTTTATATCTAAATTGATTTTAAAGAATAAAGTTTCTGGATATAGTACACTTGATTGGCAGTGATTTAACTTCAGAATTGAAACATATAATTCTTTGCTTTCTTGACTTTTAAGATTTTTTGCTGAGATATCTGTTATAATAAATTTGTACATTTTTCTTTTGTAGCCTTTGTACATAAACCAGGATTTTTTGCAGCTTTCAATATTCTTTCTTCTGTAATTTTAACATTTTGATTATAATAAAATGTAAACAAGCTAACTCTGGTCATGTCTATTAACACTTTCCATTTTTTAGTATCTTTGCTTTCTTTCTTCCTTCAAAATTCTATAGTTTTCAAGGTAGGTCCTGGAGGCTCACTCCTTAATTCTAGCTACTTGAGAGGGTGAAATTGGGAGAGTTGAAACTTCAAGTCAGTCCAGACAGAAAACTCCACATGACTCTATTGTCACTGAGAGCAACTGGATAGAGTGATGTGTACCTGTCAATCCAGCAACTATGGGGAGTCAAGAACTAGATCATGGTCTAAGCCTATGCCTGGGCAGGGCACAAGAACAGTATCTTTAAATACTGGCAGCATGGCTCAGTGCAAAAGCTCCAGTGTACAAAGTAGGGGGTCGTCAGTTCAAACTCTGGTGCCACCAAAACATATTTTAAGATTTATAGTTTCTATTGTTGAGGTATTTCACCTCCCTGATTAAATTGGTTTCCTAGACTTGTTTTGAGACTATTGTGGATGGGCTTGTTTTCTTGATTTCTTTTTCAGCATGTTTATTGTTATGTATAAAAAAGCTACTCATTTTTGTTATGTTGATTTTGTATTCTGCTACTTTGTGGAAAATGTCAACTTTAAAGAGTTTTCTAGTAAGAACTTTAAGGTGTTTTAGCAACAATATGTAGTGTGAAACAGGGATAAATTGATTTCTTCTTTTCTATTTGTAACCCATTTAGCTCTTCCTCTTTGCCTACTACTATGACTAAAAATTCAAACACTATAATAAGACTAGTGAAAGCTAATGCCCTTGTCTTGTTCTTGATTTTAGAAGGAATGCTTTCAGTTGTTTCCTACTGAGTAGAATGTTAGCTTGTGGTATATAGCATTTATTAGTTCTAGTTTCTTTAGGGCTATTTATTCAATATATTTAATTTTCCAAGTAATTATATATAGAGAAAGAGAGAGAGTGAGAGAGAGAGAGAGATAATTGAAGTAGAGGCATGTCTCAAGAGTAGAGTGCAAGCCTACAAGCGTGAGGCTCTGAGTTCAAATAATATCTTAATATCCTAATTTCTCTTTTGTTCTCTAGGTTTCATAAGGTTGCTCTGTAATGGTACAGAAATACACTAGCGCCACAGAATTTCTCCTCTTAGGCTTCCCTGGTTCCAAGGAACTGCATCATATTCTCTTTGCCACCTTCTTCTTGCTCTTGTTTTGATGTAAAACAAAAAAAAAGAGCTCCTGGTTATTGTCAGGACTTACATCTCTCTTAAGGTTCCATCTTATTCTGGTTAAACAGATTGTGGAAAACAGATTACTGAACTCAAGAAATCTCTTCTTGTTTCAAATTGTCAGTTCATGATGAGCCTCCAGATAAAACTGAATATTGACATGGAAGTGTCTCATGAAGACAGAGGACAAGAGGTGTTTTCAAAAATAGGCTGTAGAAAGGACTGTTAGACTTACATCTATAGATTTCTTCCTTAAGTCATTCATGATTCACTCAGATACCATCTTGTAATATATCAAAAGCAGCGAACAAGAACGACAAGTTTATCAACTTCATGGTTCAATGCTCAGATTGTAAGACAATGTGACAGAATAGGAAAAGTAAACACTTAATTTTAGGTGATGAAATATTTTATAGTAGGCGATGAATGTAAACAGATCTTATGGAGGTGTTAGAGAAGGATGAATATGTGTGTTCTTTTAGACAGAAATAATGTGCAAAGCTTCCCTGAGCTACAACATTCAAGGAAAGAGCTGAAGGAAGTGAGAAGCACATCCAAAAACCTTAAGGAGCTTACATCCTTGGTTCTATTTTGTATTACTGACAGATAAATCTGTAATGTCTCATTTCACTCTTTAGGGAAAGCCTGACTGTACCATGAGCTGCTTCTGCGAACACTTTACAAACTTGTTGTTGAACTGGACTGAGACCACGGCCATTTGTGTGCAGTGTGTTCACACAGTGGCTTAACTCTTGCTGGATGTAGGGCTTCGGCATCCCTGAGTGCAGAAGATGTTGCAACTGGGCCCCAAGCGTGCTGTCTTCCAACCCCAGAATGAGGTCAATGTGGGGCAAATTCCAAATCCAATTGGGCTAATGATGAAAAGGATCCACTATGTGAGAGAGGAGGCAGACAGCTGTTCAGAGCCATTGAGGGGGCGGAGGCACAGAAACTGGAGGTTGGGAGCAGCAGGTGGGCAGGCCGGGGGGGGGGGGGGGGCTGCCTGTCTATGGCACGGCAATGGTCACTGTGCTCCTCTTTATGCCAATCTTCACATATTGTGCAGGTTTTAAAAAATGTGATCACATCTGCCACTGGAAAACAGTGGTAACATGGTCCTTTCAGGTCATGGAGACAATGAGCAGGCAGAAAATCTTAGCTCTATGTTTCTCATTCATGTTTTATCAACATGCAATCATTTTAAACTTTATCGGGGCTAACTGTGACTTTCCACTCTAGAAACATCATTAATTGATCGAATCCAGTTACCCTCTTCTTTACCTACTTTGTAACTTCTAGTCATTGATCTATTTTTAAGTTTACATGTCTAAGCTTCCACATATAAAAATAATGTGCAGGTATCTTTCTGTATCTGACTTCTTTTACTGAACATAATGTTCTCCACCCCATCCATTTTACCACAAATAAAAGAGTTTCATACTTCTTTAAGATGATAATATCTTAATATCCTAATTTCTCTTTTGTTCTCTAGGTTTCATAAGGTTGCTCTGTAATGGTACAGAATTACACTAGCGCCACAGAATTTCTCCTCTTAGGCTTTCCTGGTTCCAAGGAACTGCATCATATTCTCTTTGCCACCTTCTTCTTGCTCTACTCAGTGACAACAATAGTGGGAAACACAGTCATCATCACCACCATCTGTGCCAATTAGCACCTGCAGTCTCCCATGTACTTCTTCCTCAGCCATCTCTCTGTCCTGGAGATCTTGCTGACTTCCACTACTGTTCCTTTCATGCTTCAAGGGATGCTACTGACAAGGACTCAGCTGATGTCTTTAGCTTCATGTTGTGCATAGCTCTATTTGTACCTGGCTGTGGGCAGCTCAGAGTTGGTATTATTAGGTATGATGGCTATGGACTGCTATGTGGCTGTATGTAACCCTTTAAGGTTTGGTATCATCATGAGCAGCTGCACCTGCATCTGCATGGTCATTGTGTCATAGGAATTTGGGTTCCTTTTTGAAATCTGATCAGTCTATGCCACATTCCAACTCACTTTCTGCAAATCAAATGTAATGACCATTTTTACTGTGACAGAGGACAGTTGCTCAACCTCTCCTGTGATGACACTCTTCTGACAGTTCATCCTTTTTCGAATGGCTGTTTTCATTATCATTGGTTCTTTGAGCCCTGCAGTCTTCTACACCTACATCATCTCCACCATCCTCAAGATCCCCTCAGCCTCTGGCCGGAGGAAAGTCTTCTCCACCTGTGCCTCTCACTTCACCTATGTTGTGATTGTCTATGGAGCTGCGTCTTCCTCCACATGAAGCCAAAGCAAATGCAGGCAGCCAAACAACAGGATAGCATCACTGCTGGTTTTAGTGGTGGCTCCTTTTCTGAATCCTTTCATCCTCACTCTCCAGAATGAAACATTCATACAGGCCTTTCAGAGTGGCATAAAACACTTCTATCAGCTTCTTAGGGATTAACCCTCTTATGCAGAAAACCCTGACCATGAGCACAACAAGTAATCTGAAAATGCTAACTAAATCTGAAAAGATTATTCTAATAATCAAATAATTAGTGATGTTCTATGGAATGTTAAGCAACTCATGTCCCAATTTGGCATTTTACACTATTTGCACACCTGCAGATGAACAGGGGCCCTAGGTACACTACATAAAGACTGTGTAATAGTGACACTCTCAGCCCTCATTTTATCATTTTTAAATGGATAAAAAATTCACAATTTTACAGCTATGCTACATTTCACATATTAAATTTGACAAGTGTAGATATATGAAATGTGCTTTTTAGAGCCCTCAAACCTGTAAACAGCCAGGTTTGATACATTGTGAAGAACTGACACAAATGCTTAATTTTATGCACATACACCACCTTCTTTCATACAGTTCTAGTCTTGTTTGGTGAGGATGGGGGGCTATTCATAGGACTTGAACACAGGGTCTGGGCCCTATCCCAGAGCTTTTATGCTCAACGCTAACACTCTACGACCTCTGGTTTCTGGTGGTTAACTGGAGATAAGAGGGTCACTGACTCATGCCCAGGCTAGCTTTGAACTTCCATCATCAGATCTCAGCCTCCAGAGTAGCTAGGATTTCAGGCATGAGCCACTAGGCCTGGCTCAGTGGTATCTTCTGCAGCGTAAAGCTCACTATTTCTTCCCTGAGTGATCCTAGGTCTAAACCCAAGCTTCAACCCCTCTTGCAGTTCTTCCTACAGTGTCCGATACTAACAGCACCTCTCTAGCCATCTTCCTGACTGGTGGCTGAGAGAGTGATCCTACTCTATACCACCAGCACCTAGCAATCTCAGGGCTATATACATGTGAATACAGGTATATCTTTAGTTGGTAGACTACTCAAGGTTTGGGAGGAAGATCTTAGAAGTGTCATTTTCTTTTCTAATTATTTACATTATCATACCAGCCCCAAATTTCGGAGGATAATGGAGCTGAGTTCTGAAAGCTAAGGGACAAAGGAAAATTTGTCATGCCATGACATGAAAAGAGAACACGGAAGAACCACAGGCTCTGCCTGGTCTCTATCCTTACACCTCACATGCTTCAGCTCTGCTGTGGGACCCTCTCTCTCCCTGCTCATTGTATTCTCATTCCACATACTACCTTTCTTAGTGTTGATTCTGTTTTGGTATTTCCCAGATGCATTTATACATTCTTCTTTTCTCCTCCCTTCTCTTTTAAGGACTAAGTTTGCCAATCTCACCTCTGTGTCTACACTGAGATCTTCTTTTTTTTTTTTTTTTTTTTTTGGGGGGGGGGTCTGGTCATGGGGCCTGAACTCTGGGCCTGGGCGCTGTCCCTCAGCTCTTCAGCTCAAGACTAGCGCTCTACCACTTGAGCCACAGCGCCACTTCTGGCTTTTTTCTTTTTTGCTTATGTGGTGCTGAGGAATCGAACCCAGGGCCTCATGCGTGCAAGGCAAGCGCTCTACCACTGAGCCACCTTCCCAGCCCCTACACTGAGATCTTCTAATGAATGTTTCAGTGTCAGTATTTCCCCATGTTAGTTCTTGTTTTTGTTTTCTTGATTCTGCTTTCTTGTGAATAGAATAGGGATTGCTTCTGTATTGTTGTATAAACAGTTATACAAAATAATATACCCAATGGATATTAGAAGGTGACCTCTTAAAGAACTATGGGACTGATATTTGCAGTATTTATAAAACTTTTAAGAAGTATAAGGATATTTTCTGTGTCATTAAAAGCTCTCCAAGCTATACTGCTCATGCTGCAAGAAAGACAGATTTTGTTTAAATGTTAATTGTTGTAAGAAAAAAATAAAATTAGTATGTATTCATTCATACTTGTGTATATTTGCATGAAGTATAGTTTGGGATGGGATGTAGAAAATTAGTTCCCTTGGGGATATGGTGACTGGAAGGGGCTCAGGAATAGTGCCAGGATATGGTGACTGGAAGGAGGCTCAGGAATAGTGCCAGGAGAGCTCTCTATGGTGCTTTCAGCCTTATTTCATCATAATATCTTATTTCAAAAAACAAAATAAGTCATCTTGCTTTTAGTTAACAAGGAGATTTGTTTTTTACAGGCTTTTAGTATGACTAGGAATTATGAAGTAAATGGACACCTGAGCTCAGAAAGTGAGAGAGAAAATAGAGAGGAAATGGATTTTTCTTGTCCTGGGCCATGGGCTAATTTTGTAATGACACAGAAATATTCTACAGGTAGTTATGCCCATGTCTATATGTATTGGTAAGATTCCAGGTCTAGGAAAGAAAAATCTAGAGAAATACCATATCACATAGCAAAGATTACTAGGTCATATTAAAATGATCAAGAAGATAATTATAGAAGACTTTATGAGAAGGGGCTGGGAAGGTAGCTCAGTGGTAGAGCGCTTGCCTTGCATGCTCGAGGCCCTGGGTTCGATTCCTCAGCACCACATAAGCAAAAAGAAAAAAGCCGGAAGTGGTGCTGTGGCTCAAGTGGTAGAGCACTAGCCTTGAGCTGAAGAGCTGAGGGACAGCACCCAGGCCCAGAGTTCAGGGCCCATGACCGGACCCAAAAAAAAAAAAAAAAAAAAAAAAAGACTTTATGAGAAGACTTATACTAGCCCAGGATAAAAGAAGTTGCTTTTCAAAAAAAAAAAAGCAGTAATTGTAATCACTTAGAAACTATCAACTATGCTTACAACCATGATTTAATTATATTTTGGATTAGTCAGCTTCAGAAGATGATACTCATTACCATTCCGAAGTCTAATAAAGCCTTTGAAACTACCTAGTGGCTTATAGAAAAATATTTAAAAATAGATATATCCAACTGTACAACAAAGATGTAATTGACATACCTCAAATTTTGGGAAACCCTATGGTCAAAATATCTGACTTCTTCAACTCGCAGATTAAAAAGACATGAAAGGCTATAGCAAGATCTCCTGGGCAAACTAGACTTCAATAGCACATTAAATTTAAAAAACTGCATATGAATAATAAACCATTAAAGAAAGGAAGTGACTGCTTAAAAGTTGAGCTCACAGTACAATCAAGGACATGAACACTATCATTAGAATAGGATCACGAAATGGGCTTCTGGGGCTACTATAAAAGGTCTCTTGCTTTATCTGGGTATGATTTCAAAAGTGTTCACATCTAAGCATACCAGAGTGATACAGAACATGAAACAATCCCATTTCCTAGTTGGCTCAAGCTATTATAACAAAATTCTATTGTAAAATTCTATATTTTTTACAGTTCTGGAGGCTGAAACTTTAAGGTCAAAGCACTGGTAGATTTGTTGTCAGGTGATAAAAGAAAGGGCAATGAAGGATTCTGGGCTCTTTTATATGACATGAATTTCATTCACAAGGGCTCTATTTTATGAGATAATAATTTCCTAAAGTTCACATGCCCAAATACCATAGATGACATGTTATATTTCAATTTATGAAAAGTTTAGGGAAACTCAAACAGCAGTCTCTAGCAACTCAATAGTAAAAGGTAGAATAATCTGAGTAACAAACTAAATAGTATTGCTTAGATTTTAGACTATAAAATATTTCTATTGTATAAATATTTGATATAAAAATAATTGATTAAATAAAAGACTTAAATTATTTTTCCCTTTTCCTAGAACTTTTTGGGCTAGAACTGTTATAGTTCTAAATATTAAAGCCAGGTCCAGGCATGGTAGTACACATCAGTAAGTCTAGCCTCTTAGGAGGTAGAAGCAGGAGGATCACAGTTCCAGGTAACCTCAGACAAAAATTAGGCCACTATCTACATATCATATCAAATGAGTTTAGGTAAGCAAACCAGTAGGCAGAGGTCTGGGATTCACAATAGGTCCATAAAAACAGCACGGAGTCTATGCCAACTCAATATAGAATATATCCTGACTACATATGTATCTCTTCTAAATATGTGTTAAGAAACATGGCAGGGCATTCATAGTAGTTTTACAAAAAATATTTTTTCAAGTATGTTGTGATATTTGTGCTTTATATTTTTAAATTTTTAAGCTTTAGCAGGGATTTTTTAGCATAACAGTATTATGTAGGGAGAAATAGAAAAGGATATATTTCATGCTCCTGTGCAGTTAATGGAAGTTAAAGATTCAATTTGAATATGTTATACTAGGAAGTGGCACTATGGCAAGAGTGCTTGCCTTGAGCTGGAGAGCTAAGGTAGAGCGTCCAGGCCCAGAGTTCAAGCCCCATGACCAACCAAAAAACCCAAAAACAACAACAAAAACAAAAATATGTTATACTATGTACATAAACCATATAAGATGATGTTAAGAGAAATGAACCCCAAGGACACAAATATCTTTTTTCTTTCTTGCTATTGTTTCTAATGTATTTATAATGTACCATGTGATTTTTTGTTGCTTTGTATGCTCCTCCCCCACGGTATAACCCCAGTTTTCACTGTATTTGATGTTGGTGCCCTGAATCTTGTATATACACTTCTCTAATTCGGGGAGGGGAAGGGAAAAAACAAAATGCTTGAATAAGGATACAGGTTGACCCATTGTAACAAAGAGATATACAAAACACTATGTTGAAAATGAACTTTACAACTTCGGGGGGGAGGAGTAGTTGTGGAGGTGGGAGGGAAGGGTAGGGGGCAAATAAAGGAGGAGGCAACAATGCTCAGTAGGAAATGTATTCATTATCTTGCTCATGTAACTATAACCCCTCTGAACAGCATTTTTACAAGAAATAACGTACAAAAATATTTTGTACAAATGCACATATGTTTAAATATCTAGTAATTTTGCCATGTAAACAGAAATAACCACTGTTGCCCTTTTTCCCTCCTTACCCATACTACCACTTGCCAATAATATTCAACCATTTCTTCTAGCACATATTTAGCAGCAATATGGGTATGTAAATGTTTCTTTTTTTTTTTTTGAAGCTGTACTCATATCTCCATTCTTCACTGGCTGCCCATCATGGGCCTCTCTCAGGTCCTATAGCTGCTAG